GGGGATCCACAGCCGGTGCGACAGTCACTCCAGCTGCCAGCAGTGGACCCAGCGGGCAGGAGGTGGGCCAGGCCAGACAGATGGCTGGGCAAAGGAGACGTGGCCTTTGAGCTTGCCCGCGCCTGCAGGCTGTCCCCGGTCCGAGCACCCTGCTGTTCAGGGCCATGCACGCCCACCGCCCACCACAGGGGTGTGCTCAGGCCAGGAGCGCCCAAGCTTCCGGAAGCCCCCAGAACACAAAGCTGATGTCCAGGCAGGGCTCGGGCACTGGGCTGGGAGGCAGAACGGCCACCACCCACGGCCCGCTGCGGCCCAATGGGCATGGCCCAGGGGCCCACCTGGGTTCTCCTCCCTGTCAGGGAACTTGATCTGCACGTTGTAATCCCGAGTGATCTGCTGGATCCTGGATCCTTTGGGGCCCATAACAGATCGATGGAACTTCTGGGGTATCGCACACTCCACTGTCACCTGAGCCTCCTGGAGGGGACAGAGACAGCAAAGGCACAAGGCACAAAGGTCAGACCCCGCAGCCAAGGCCACAGCCCTCAAGCACAGTGCGTGTCTGCGGACGGCCCCTCAGCACCAGGCCTCTCTGCAACCTGTGCCTGCCGACTGAGACGCTGCCGACTCACGTTCACACGCCTGACACTGCACCAGGACCCTGACCATCCCCACCCACACAGAGGGGAGCCCTGCCCCCACCCTGGGGACACAGCAGCTAATTAAGCGACCTTCAGCCTGGGAGCCGTGACACCACAGGGCCGTCAGGAAAAGCTCTCCAAAGGCTGCTGGGGACCAGCCCGTGTCCGGGACCTCTCCAGACGCCCTAGCCCTGTCCCTCTCGCCTGCTCCCCTCCTGAGGGGACACATGGTCCACGCACACTCCTCGTCCAACAAGGCGGAGCACGACGGCTGCTCCTCCAAGGTGGCCGGGAGGGCAGCCGCAGACGGAGGGAGCCCTGCCACAGCTCTTGGGGCTGAGGCCCACCTGACCCCACAGGGCCTACCAGGTCCTCGATGACCTCCTGAATGCGCTTCTTGGCCGCCTCCACGCAGTCCTTTGCGCCCTTGAGGGTGACCTTGTCGCTCTGCGTGCCAGAGCGCGGGAAGCTGACCATCACGCCACCATACTCCTCGGCGATCTCTCGCAAGACCTGCCCTCTCCTGACAACGAAGTGGCGGTGGTGCCTGGGGTCCACCAGCATGTGGTCCTCCACCACGTTGTCCTGCAGGGCCAGGGGACAAAGATGAGCCACTTGCCCAGCCCCACGCAGCCACCGGCCCAGGCCCCACTCCCTACCAGGCTCTGGATCAGGGCCTCCAGCTCCTTCTGGGCCTCGCGGACAGCCTCCTCCTTCCCAACGATGGTGATCAGGTCCTGGTCCTTGTCCTCGGCCGCCGGGAATATGATGCGGGCTCCAGTGCTGTCACGCACCTTGCGGATTTTGCCGCCCCCTTTGCCGATGAGGAACTTGTGGTATTCCGGCTTGGCGCGGATGTCCACGGTGAAACTCTTGGTTTGCTGTAAAACCAACACCTGGCACGTCACCTGGCACCATGGGCCACAGTGCAGTGAACAGCGGGCCAGCAAGGGGCACTCCCAACTGCGCCCAGCGTCCAGAAAGGGGCTGGTCACAGGTGGACACAGGTCACACTTGGTTGAACCTTCTTTACACCCACAACCGGGAAGGTGCCAAGATGGCGGACGCGCAGACTCCACTTGGCCCTGTGTGTACAGGCGCAGCACGAACTGGCGAGGCGCTGGCAAGGCACAGGCCCTGGTGAGCGTGGGGCTCACCCATGCCCAGGGCAGCCTCCGGACCACGGTGCTCAGCCATGCCGGGCCAGCCCCACCCCACGTGCCACAGAGCAGCCCTGTCCCTGCCTGACCGCGGTTCAGTGACAGAGCCGGCCAGGCTGGGACGGAGCGGAGCCCTCAGACACCAGAAAGCAGGGCCCTCACAGCAGGGCACCTTCTGGGCACCCTGCTACCCCACGCCTGCACACGAAGGCCAAGAACAGACCTGCTCGGGGCAGAAGGCGGTCCCAGCTGTGACCCTGCTGGCGTCAGCACCGCAGCCACCGGTGCCACCTTCAGAGAGGGCCACAAAGCAGCCCCCAGCACGCTGGTAAAGGGCGACAGGCGGGCGGGCTCACCCCAAGGACACCAGGAGGTTAGTAAAAAAGCTAACACGAGCTAATACTTTTAACTTTAAAAATCAATCACCTCAGCTGAGCAGAAAAAGCATTTGACAGAATCTAACATCCAGCTCCTCCAGAACTTCACAATCTTGGAATGAAAGAATCTGCTCAATATTTTACCAGAGCTCTGTGACCGCGGCTGCCCGCCCGCTGCTGCTGTTCCTGGCCCAGGGCTTGAGCGACAACTGCCTTGGGAAAGGGGTTCTCGGAGCAGAGGCAGGGCTGCGCACGCGGGGGCTACGCACGCGGGGGCCACGCTTTGTGCGTGGAAAAGTGGGGTCCACAAGGACACCAGGGAGCAGAGGCAGGGCTGCGCACGCGGGGGCCAAGCTTCGCGCGTGGAGAAGAGGGGTCCACAAGGATACCAGGGAGCCAAACGCCAGGCAGGACGAGGCCAACGCGCTCACCACAGCAGGCGGGGGCGGGAAGCCCAGGTGTGTGCACGCCAGCGGGGCCGGAGGCCGAGACGGTGCAGAGGCGTGGGCTGAGACCTATACCCGCAAGGTGCCAGCCTCCCCAACTGCACCCCTAGGTTCACCTCCGTCCCATCAGACTATGAACACACCTCTCCCTCCCTAGAAATCAGCAGGCGGATCCCAAGAGGCACAGGAGAACAAGGGTCGGGTCTGCCAGAGCGAGTCTGACAAGGCGATGTGGGAAGACCGCCCTGTCTCCAGGTTCCACCCAGTAGGGGAGACCGGAAACAAGCCCCAGACGTGGTGGCCAAGGGACAGAGGCACTGGGGGGAGGCCTGAGGGGTGGGCGGGGAACCCAGACCACAGCAGAGCCCCACGAATGTAGGTTTGCCCCAACTCAGAGCACTGCGAGAACGGTGCTTTCACGGTGAATAATATCAGACGAAACCCACAAAACGGAAGACCGGGAGAAGCCCAGGCGCTAACAAGCAAGGGGCGTGCTTCTACATGGCACACGAAGCGCAGCCAGGGAGGTGCCCACCTTCTCTTCCGCCAGGTGCAGGAGCTGCTTCTTGGCCTTCTCCACGTCCGAGGAGGGGCCTCTGATGACCACGGTGTCGCTGCCTGAGCCCTCCACGGGGAAGTGGATGTGGACACCACCGCACTCCTCCATGATGGAGCGGACCAGGCGGCCCTTCGTGCCGATGAGGGAGTTGTGCAGCTTGGCCGGGATGGAGACCTCCACCTCGGCGATGTTGGCCTGCAAGCACACGGCAGGGTGTGTCACAGACAGGGAGAGAAAGAGAGGGCCGAGGTAGGGCAGGCACAGCCGGGGGTGGGTGTGCGTGTGTTGTGGGGTCCACATGCCGTGTAAACGGAGTGATGAGACTTTAATATTTTTTGGAGAGGTTTTTGCTATAGGGCGCGTGCATTCACCAGACAGAGAAGAGACAGAAAGCGAGAAATCACACCCCAGGGGGGATGGTCACGCCACAATCCCTTTTCCTCCATTCTCTTGGGATCTTGGGCACGCACGCACATGCGCCTGGCCTGAGTTTTAAGCCACTGGGTCCGGGACGCGAACCGCGGTCGATTACATGGGAATCCAGCGACATAGCCATTATGCTAACTGCTGGTTCCCAAGGAGCGATGAGACTTTAGACGTGAGATCCTGTCTGTCCCGCCCCAACCACGGCACACTGATGGACATGGAGCAACCGTGCCTTGGGGGGGGGAGCAGTGCTGGGAGCGAGCCCGACGGCCTTCAATGTGAGTCCACTAGGGAGCGAAGCAGACTGCCCCCCAGTCTGAGGAGCACAGGAACATCCTGGGGCACCCTGGGAGTAACCCATAGCAAGGGGAAGCACCACACCAACCCGGCAGACAGACGCTGGAATCGGCAGGCTGAGGGCACTAATGCAGGCACGCGGAGACGCCGAGGACAGCGAGTCCAGCGAGTCCAGCCCGGCTCTTAGCTGTCCAAAGTGGCACCCTGTGGGCTGGGCCGCAGGCAGGTATGCGACTGCCTGCCACCCAGTCGGGGGCACTCAAACGTCAGAGGGAGGGGAAAAAGCCGAGCAGAGAGAATGTCACGACGGTGACGGCCATCTTCTTGTCCATGGTGCAAAGTCTAGCTTACCTACAGAGCCCAGGGGCACCAAGCCCGCCCTGGCAGTCAGGACAGACAACAACAGAGGAGCGGCCACAAGCTCGCCGCCACCTGCAGGTATGTGTCCCAAGGCCATCCAGGGCCCTTCCCCGGACAGAGGGCCACCAAGACCCACTTCCACTATTTCAGTGCCTTAGGACTAAGACATGAGTGTGAGACAGAGGTGACCACGTGCCGCATCAGGGTTTGTCACAGGGAAAGCACGCTCTGTGGCAGAGACCACAGCAGCCATGCTGACGTGGCATAAGAACATGTGGCGGCCCTGGGAGGAAGGTGTGGCCACAAACCTGAACCCGTGACAAGGCCAGGAGTTCGGTCTCAGCAAGCAGCGCGGAAAGGAGAGACCATGAACTACTTCATGCAGGGGCCGGCAGGTGGCATGGTGGTTAAAGTGCAGGACCGACTCCCCCTTGGCCATACAGTTCGAGTCCGTGATCTGGCAGCATGAAAATCACACTGGCTGCGTGTGCATGTGTGCCTGAAATCCCAGGAGGAGAACGGAGGAAAAGAGACTGGGGTAGCCACTGCCCTTGGGGTGAGTTCTCACTGCTTCCTCCCTTGCCCTAAGGCAAAACTTTCAGAATACCACCAACCAAAAAAAAAACCCCTCAATTCAGGGTCGGCCAGGTGGCATGGTAGTTGAGGTGCCTAGATCCCACATGGCTGGCAGCATGGTTCAAATCCTGGACCCAAGCCTTGAAAAAACACACCAAACACATGTGCGCCCAAAATCCTGAGGGGAGAGGGCAAGGGGTGCAGCGTGGCCCTCCCTGAGGCTGAGCCTCCTTTTCCATCCTCCCCACGAGTTCATGTGCCCTCTATCCAAGAAGAAAAGATGATTCGATTCAAAAGAAATTAGAGAAAGAAAAAAACAGGAACAAGGTAGATGGGACACAGAACATAGCAAGGCTGCAGGTCTACAGCCGCGGTGCAGAGCCACGGTGGCTAGCGGGACCGTGCAGGGGCTGGCTGTGGGCAGGAGGAAGAACGCGCTGAGGACGCCGGGATGTGCCTGCCCGGGGCTGCCGAGCGGCACACTCAGAACTACTGCAGCGTCAAGTGTGTGGGCTCTTACCATGCACCCTCGTTCACAGCCAATGCGACTAGTCACATTTGCCAAGCACATGTAATAAAAGCACACACGATTAAAAAGGCAGAACTCTAAATTCAATTAAAAAAAAAAAAAATCAAGGGGCCAAACAGAAACCCACTCTACTAACAGAAAAGGTGCGATGATTTTACTGTTTGAGAGAGATTTTTGCTGCAGGGCACTCCCGCTCGCTGAAGAGGCAGAGAGAGAAAGCGAGAAATCCACCCCCAGGGGGATGCCATGCCGCAGTCCTTGTGTCCAGCGTGACTACTGGCTTGCCGGGTCGTGGACTCAAGCTGAGATCAACTACATGGAGTCCGCGATGCGGCTGTTATGACATCGGCTGGTCCCGCAGATGTAAATTTTGGAGTAAAAAACCACCGCGGGTAAGGCCACCTCATCAGGACAGACGCCTACGTGGAGCAAGGAGTGACAGCAGAGACAGCAAAGGCTGGCAGGGGATGCTGCTCGGGACAGAGCCAGCACCGGCCCGGACAAACGGGCCCTGGAGGCGCTCACGGCCCGCTGTAGAGGCTGCGGATGAGTGTGGCCTGGGGCCCAGGGCTCGGTGGTGCTGATGGAACCGACAGCACACCGACCACACTCAGGACAGGAAGCACGAATGGCGACAGGGAAGCCACCGTCAGATGATAGAAGAGAGTGCCCGCAGCGGCGTGGCCCTGGCGTGTATCCCGGGCACACGCGTGTGAGCCTGGGATGCCGGCTGAGGCAGGGGCGGTGGTGTGAGGATCCCGTGGGAGATGCCCGTGCCCCCCTTCCAGTCAGTGAAGAAATAAACGAATTAACGTGAGAAAGTGAAACGGAACAGAGGGACGGAGAGTGGCGCAGGGTTAGATGGGGACGCACCGTGAGGTCTGCACCCCCACCCCCACCCTGCCCATGACCAGGCCGGCTGAGCTGGAGTGGAAGTGAGCGCAGGGCCCCTGCAGGGCTCCATCTCTGGTTCTCTCCGACAGGGGTGGGAAGAACACGCAGGCGTCAGCAGCACCGGCTGAGCAGGCCTCACGACAGCCCTGAGCACGCCACACCCTGGCACCCGTCAGGGCCTGTGGACGTGGAGGGAGAATGGGCAACGGCTTGAGTCACAAGGGTGAATCCAAACTTTAGGTAGCCAGCAGTGCCCGGGAGACGCAGGTCTGATCTACACGGTGCAGATCCAAGCCGAGAGCACGGGGTGCTGATGGGCGGGGGACGACCCTCGGGCCCGGGCCTGTGTGGTGAGACACACTCAGTGTGGAGCTTCTGTTTTGTCTCCCCCACAGAGGGTGTGCACTTGCTGCAGAGCGTGAGGGCGGTGGGGGGGAGTGAAGAACCACCCCCAGAACCCTCCTCGCCATCCCCAAACCCGGGGTTGTGGGCGGGCAGGCACACGTGCACAGGCCCATGGGCTTTCCAGGCCACCACGCTGGGCCTCAAACAACGCAGTTGGCCATGGGGCACCCAGTGCCTCAACCACCATGCCCCCAGACAGGCCCACGTCTGTTACGACGATCAAACTGCACACAGTACGTACGTGGCTTCTACGATATAGCCTGAACGGGGGTGGGGGGGGCATGGAAAGGGCCACCCCACAGGGTCTCATCACACTGTGATCCCCGTCCTCTCCAGCTCCTCAGGGTCTTGGGTATGTGTGCGCCTGGTGTGTTTCCTTTGTAAGAGATCATTTAAGCAGGATGTGCGCGCAGAGTCAGAGAGACAGAAAGTGAGAAGTCACCCCCCGGGGTGAGGGGCAATCCCTTCTCCTCCAGATTCTGGGTGTGCATACACACACACACACACACACACACACGTGCACGCACACACACTCACACGCATACGTGCACACACACCCTGCCTGGACTCCAGGACTGGGCGTTCGGTTGACCACGTGGGGGCCTGGAACCTGTCGGCCCTGTCTGGTGTGTTCAAGCCAAGCCAGGGGTCTGAACCACGGCCAGCCACGTGGCTCCCAGCTCGGCATGGACTTGTGTGACCACTGCACCAGGCACTAGGCCTGAACAGAGGCCCCAGCAACTTCAGAGTCTGTAATGTGCGGCAGCTAGGGACGGACAGACACGGCGGACAGAGACCCTAGGCGGACCAGAGCCCGGGCCTGCCGGTCAGAGGGGACAGGGAGCTGCTGACCGCCAGCGCCGGCGCCACCACCCCTGACGGCCTCGGCGCACTCATTACCAGGTCTTTCTGGATCGACAGGATCCGGCTGCGGGCAGCCTCGCAGTTGGCCCGCTTGCCCGTGATGACAATGGTCTCGGAGTTGCTGTTCTCTGCGGGGAGGTCGATCTTGGTGTTGCTCTCTTCCCGGATCTACGGGAGCGGGTGTGTGAGAAGTGCCGAGGGGGCCACGTGGGCTGTGGCAGCAGCCTCCCTCCCGCCGCCAGGGGACAGGCTGGCCACCTTCTTGATGTTCGCTCCTCCTTTCCCGATGATGTTCTTGTGGAACTGCTTGAAGACCGGCACGGAGATGGAGTAGCTGTTCTCAACCTTGGAGACGGAGAGACGCACGGTTAACAGCCTGGCCAGACGGGCACCACTGCCGGCCAACACTGTCGGAAATTGCTCTGTCCCGCTCACGGGCCTTCGGGGTCCCCTGGCAGGGAAGACCCCCATGTGACAGCGAGCTACCCGGGCAGGTCACGGCAACTGCTGCAGAGCCTGTGCTGAGCCACGACACACACCAGAACCCATGGCCTGACGACATTCTGCACCCAGAGGCTGCCAGGCTGACCAAGGGCTCTCAACCATCACGTCGGCTACACTGGGGTCAGAGCTGGCCCGGAACAGACCCCTCACACGCACACCGCGACAGCACAGCCCCAGTCCTCGCGGGACCCAGAGCCCGGCGGCCCGAGCCAACAGTTCCAAGCAATGGAATCCCCCATTGCAGAGGCTGGCGCCCACTCCTGGCTTGGGGGAGATAGCCCATCAGCATGAGGCTCATCTAACGTGCCTTTCTCCTTGGACAGGACAGGGCAGTCTCTCACGCAGCGACTGGAGACCCCTCGAGGACTCTCCCCCCAGGCTGGCCGAATGCCCCAGTGTCCCTGCCACTCGGAGCCACGCGCTCCCAAGGTGCCGCATTCGACAGCCCACACCCAGCCTCACCAGGTCGGCCACCGTCTTCTGCATGTACTTGGCGCACTTCTCCACCTCATTCTTGGGCCCCCTGAGCTGTACCACGTCGCTCTTCTGTGCCGGGTCCGGGAAGTTGATGATGACCTGGAGTGAGCCCAGGCGTGAGCCGGCCTCCAGGGACGGATGGCGCGTAGGGGTGGGGGCAGGGGGGGCGGGGGCTGGTACCTCGGGGAACTTGTCGCGGATTTCCCGGATCCGCTCGCCCTTCTGCCCGATGATTGTGCGGTGGAACTTCTGTTCGACGATCAGGTCCTTGGTACGCTCGTTCTCCTGCACAGTGACCCATGCAGGTGACGCCACCGACCCAGGCCAGGGCGAGGCGGCGGTCCCGAGTACCTACCACAGGCTGCCCGCTACCCCAACTGGCTGCACGTCACGCTGGCTATGTGTCCTCCCAACTGGTGGTTGCGGCAGGGAAAGCTCTCCACCCCGCCCCGGCACCGGCTATGTGTCCTCCCAACTGGTGGTTGCGGCAGCAAATGCTCTCCACCTCGCCTCGGCACCCGCCACCTCAGCCTCCCATGAAGCTGCCCCCATGGACGCACACGGCCATACGCCAGGTACCCATCGGACCCCAACCCGCCGTCTGATGCTGTGGGCTGCAGGCTCCCTGCCTGGAGGCCTGGGGCCCTGCACAGCGGGGGGAGCCCCCATGTGCCCAGCGTGGGGGTCCTATGAGTCTACCTTTTCTTTTAAACCCTTTTTTATTTTTTAATTTGCCAGAGGGCAGGAGCCCTTTCTTCTCCCTACCCAATCCTTTCAGGACTCTAGGCATGCACGCATGAGAGCAGGCCTGGGACTCCACCATGTGGAGGGGCCCATGGGATGCAGCTCACTAACCACTGCACGGGCTGGCTCTGTTGTTATGGTTATTTTTCACTTGCCAGAGAGGCCACATGGCCAAATGGAAGATGCGAGTCCAGGGGACCAGCAGTTGGCATAACGGCTATGTCACCGGACTCCCATGTAGTCGACCATGGTTCGAGTCCCAGATTCAGTGGCTTCAACTGACAACAGGTGCGTGTGCGTGCGTGCCCAAGATCTCCGAGAGGAGAACGCAGGAGAAGGGACTGCGTTGTGGCCATCCCCTGCCCGGGGGGGCAGTGATTTCTTGCTTTCTGCCTTTCTGGTGAGTGCATGCACCTTATAGCAAAAACCTCTCCAAGGATAAAAAAAAGATGCCAGTGCAGAACCCAGTGGCTTCAAAGACATGGGGGCCAGAACAGAAGGGACTGTACTCTCCCCGCGAGGCACACACGCTGTATCCAGACGTAAAGCAATGCCAGAGGGCACGCTCATGGAGCCAGGAGGGGAGGGATGGAGTACTCCCCGTCCCTCCATCCCGTCGGGCTGGGGTAGACCAGGGCCAGGATTTGAACCATAGTCGGCTACGTGGGACACATTTCCCTTCACCACCCACGGGGTGGGTTCCCTGCGCAACTCCTCACTCCTCCACAGATCCCACTGAACTGTCAGAAGACAGACGTGCGGTGCTCCAAGCCAGAGAAGAATGTCACCCGTTCACCCAGCATTCTAAAGAGCTTGGGGGTTCGGGGTCAAACTGGGACCCGGCTGATGGAGAAAGGAGGGCTCGGAATCCAGCACGGACACAGGACTCTCCAGACAGAGACCATGGGAAGCCAGGATGGGCAGGGAGCCAGGGTTAGGGCCTGGGGCTGAAGAAGGGGATCAGGGAAGCCACGGAGCAGCATAGGACTAAACCAGCAGGGAGGCCGGGCCCACACAGGTCCAGGGAGAGCCAGCCCCTGCCCTAACAGAAGAGACTCCCCAGAGTGGGCAGGCCTGGGGCCTGGGCTTGCCGGCTCAGCTGGGAACCCTGCGCTCTCCTGGAACCTGAGAGAGCTGGCACATGCTGTGCACCTGACCCAGGCTTGAGCTCGGTGTTCGGCAGGAGTGTGTCCACGCCCGAGCCCAGGCGGACAGGGTCCAGCCTGCAGACGCCCAGTCCCTGCTGGGGCTCGTGGGGGTCCTATGAGTCTACCTTTTCTTTTAAACCCTTTTTTATTTTTTAATTTGCCAGAGGGCAGGAGCCCTTTCTTCTCCCTACCCAATCCTTTCAGGACTCTAGGCATGCACGCATGAGAGCAGGCCTGGGACTCCACCATGTGGAGGGGCCCATGGGATGCAGCTCACTAACCACTGCACGGGCTGGCTCTGTTGTTATGGTTATTTTTCACTTGCCAGAGAGGCCACATGGCCAAATGGAAGATGCGAGTCCAGGGGACCAGCAGTTGGCATAACGGCTATGTCACCGGACTCCCATGTAGTCGACCATGGTTCGAGTCCCAGATTCAGTGGCTTCAACTGACAACAGGTGCGTGTGCGTGCGTGCCCAAGATCTCCGAGAGGAGAACGCAGGAGAAGGGACTGGTTGTGGCCATCCCCCCGCCCGGGGGGGCAGTGATTTCTTGCTTTCTGCCTTTCTGGTGAGTGCATGCACCTTATAGCAAAAACCTCTCCAAGGATAAAAAAAAGATGCCAGTGCAGAACCCAGTGGCTTCAAAGACATGGGGGCCAGAACAGAAGGGACTGTACTCTCCCCGCGAGGCACACACGCTGTATCCAGACGTAAAGCAATGCCAGAGGGCACGCTCATGGAGCCAGGAGGGGAGGGATGGAGTACTCCCCGTCCCTCCATCCCGTCGGGCTGGGGTAGACCAGGGCCAGGATTTGAACCATAGTCGGCTACGTGGGACACATTTCCCTTCACCACCCACGGGGTGGGTTCCCTGCGCAACTCCTCACTCCTCCACAGATCCCACTGAACTGTCAGAAGACAGACGTGCGGTGCTCCAAGCCAGAGAAGAATGTCACCCGTTCACCCAGCATTCTAAAGAGCTTGGGGGTTCGGGGTCAAACTGGGACCCGGCTGATGGAGAAAGGAGGGCTCGGAATCCAGCACGGACACAGGACTCTCCAGACAGAGACCATGGGAAGCCAGGATGGGCAGGGAGCCAGGGTTAGGGCCTGGGGCTGAAGAAGGGGATCAGGGAAGCCACGGAGCAGCATAGGACTAAACCAGCAGGGAGGCCGGGCCCACACAGGTCCAGGGAGAGCCAGCCCCTGCCCTAACAGAAGAGACTCCCCAGAGTGGGCAGGCCTGGGGCCTGGGCTTGCCGGCTCAGCTGGGAACCCTGCGCTCTCCTGGAACCTGAGAGAGCTGGCACATGCTGTGCACCTGACCCAGGCTTGAGCTCGGTGTTCGGCAGGAGTGTGTCCACGCCCGAGCCCAGGCGGACAGGGTCCAGCCTGCAGACGCCCAGTCCCTGCTGGGCCTGTAGGCCCTGTAGCAGCTGGGCTCAAGCCTGGCTGCATGAGAATCACCTGGTTGGTGCCTGAGGAGTCCAGCTCCAGAAATGGAGCTGGACCCATGGCCTAGTGGGCAAAGCAGCAAGACCCCACACAGGGGACTTTTCGGTTCAAGGCCTGGACCTGGCGACTTGAGAAGCACACGGTGTACGTGCATACTCGAGATGCCGCAAGGACCGAGGGAGGAAGGAGAAGTGGGATTGCAGTGTAGCCATGTCTCACGGGGTTGTCTCCCCCACCCGACCTGGTCCCTGGAGTACCTGAGCCCTCCGACAGTCCCCCCCACCAAAAACATCCATTACAAGCCCGGTGCCACTCCAGCCCAGTGGCAGCACCCTCTTGGACCATACTGTGAGGCTCCTCAGAGGTGCCAACAGCCATAGCCTGTGCCGTGTGGGGGCTGGGCCACTGCTTACCATGCGTGAGGCCAGTTCTAGCAGCTCCCGCTTGGCCTGCTGCACACCCTGGGGGTCGCCCTCAATGCGGACCAGGCTGCTCTTCTCGCTGTCTGGGGGGATGCGCACGGACACCTTGTACTGGTCTTTGATTCTGTTTACTGAAGAACAGAGAGGCATGTCCGACAGTGCCCATGGCAGGCCACCACCAGGTGGACACAATGCGGCCCCAGACGCCTTCGCAGTGACCTGCCCAGCACGGGAGATGGGCCTCTAGACAGAGCTCCGCCCTCACGGCGAGTCCGCCACGGCCCTCCAGGAGTGTGGGCACCTGGGAGATTCGAATGCCCAGTGGGCGGACCACAGAGCCTGGCCTGTAGCCGGCCTGGCCCAGGAGAGCACAGCCCATGTTTCCCCACGTGTGAGGGAGCCTGGGAGCGACTCCCTTGGGAGAGGGACTCACACTTGAGTTCCAGGGCCAAGCCCGTGTGCTGCCTATGTGGACGCACTGAGCACTCCGTGGCCTGTGGACCCTGTGGAGCCGCAGACCCCCACACCCTCCCTTGGCAGGACCGGGCTCCAATACCACAGCGGCCACATTGGCAGGGTGTGAGGCACCAGGAGGGCTCTGCACATGTCAGGGAACACATGCGGGGCACAGGACACAGAGGACACGGAGGCCGGAACACGGCGAGGGAGACGCAGAGAGAACGGCATACGGCTCTTGGCTCACACTGGCGTGACTCCCAGGGTCAAACACACCAACCCCAGCCAGCACCGCAACATGGGCCGCGGTGGTCACCAGGTGCTGGTCCCACGGCCGAGTGCACAGGACAGGGTTGTCTCGCCCACAGACAGCAAGGAGCCTTGGCCAGCTGCACACCCAGGAGTGCCCTGGGGCAGTCCTGCCGCGGCGGGGCCATCTGTGGAGGTGGGAGCACCACGCTGTGTGGGGCGGTACAGCAGTTGGGGGCTGTGCTAACAGACATGCTTAGGGAGCGGCGGCACAGCAGCCCTCATGGCCAGGCTCTGGGTGAGTCTAGAGAACCCCCACGTATGCCAGGCCCAGCCCACGGGCCAGGCAGGCTGAGGGCTGGGGTTGATCTTGGCTGCCAGACCCACTGGGGCGCTCTCTCCGTCTCTATTTCTGTCTCTTTGCACTCAGAGAAAATAAGAAACAAACAAAAATTGTTTGCCCTTTGCTGAGGGCTCCCAGGTCAAGGTGCAGCGCACACCCACGGCCGGTGCCGAACCAGGCTGCCGTACCGCGCTTCTCCATAGAAGTCCCTCCCGGTGCAGCCTGATGCGCCACGGGACGGCACTTCTTCCTGAGGTGAGCCCAGAACACAGTGGGAGGGCTGTGGTCCTGGCGTGCCTCCACGGGGCCCACGTCGGGAGGAAGGACAGGATGCTCCCGCAGCAGCAGCCCCGGCTGGGGCTCTCCAGCCTGGCCTGCCGCCCCACCAGCCCCACTCACTGTTGGCCCCACTCTTCCCGATGAGGTGTCTGTGGAACCTGTGGTCGATGTTGATCTCCACGTAGTCCATGCGGCTGACCTGCAGAGGCACGCACGTGGGGCGGATGCTGGTCAGCCCTGCCACACAGGCCGTCAGGCGAGTGGCGGGATCCATGCCCAGGGCCACCGCCTCACCCATCGGGCCAGGTCCTGCTGCAGCCCAGCCCTTGGGAAGGTTTTCTGTCCCGGGGGCCCTGCTGAGACCAGCTCCAGGCCCGGTACTAGGCTGGCCACCCCATTTCCCTCACCCACCCGTGTAGGATGTGACCGACACCAGCCCCTGCCCTCGCGGCCAGCATGCCACGCGGCCTTACCAGGTCTCTGACCATGCTTTCTATCTGGCCCTGGGCTGCGTGCACGTCCTCGGTGGGGCCCTCCAGAGCGATCTTGTCCTCGCCCTCCGTGAACTCGATGTGAACCTGCCACACCAGGCCAGAAAGGCGGCTGAGGCTGGGGGGGTCGTCCCTGACGAGCCACAGGGCTCCCTGGGGCACAGGCACCCTGACTGTGTGGGGTGGGATGGCCACGGCCACGGCCGCATGCTAGGTCCCAGGGGCTGGGGACCCGACCCAGACCTGCATGCTCTGATCACCCTGTCACTGAGAGGTGGGCTCAAGCCCACCATGCTGCTGCCCTACGGCCGGCCCGGGCTCGCGCTCAGGCACCGTGGTCGCTCTCTAGAGCCCCCCCCTCCCACGGCTGCATTCAGACAAAGGAGACAGAGACGAGGATGAGTCTTTAAGGCCCGGACAGTAGCCCCTGCACTTCTGGTAGGTGGCACGCAGGGAAAGGAGTGGCCCCATGGAGCAGCTGGACCTGTGAGCAGAGTTTAAAGCTAGAGAGAGGGAGAGAGGCTGGCTCCGTGGCCTGGTGGTTAAGGGAGCCCCGTCTCACAAAGCAGACGGTGCAGTTCAAGTCCTGCACCTGCGCCTTCAAGGACAGGCAGGCACTGTCTGTGTGTCAAATCCGCGAGACTGAGAGACAGAGAAGGCTCTACGGCATGGCCACAGCCCAGCGGGGTGCGGTCTTCCTCCCCTCCGGCTTCCCTCTAAGCGCACATGCCGACAGTGAAAGATGGAAAAGGGAAAGAAATGAAAACGCCTAAACAGTGCACTGGAGACAGTCTAACCACCACAAAGGGCTCTCCCATCTCCACAGAAGGTGAGAAGATGTAGGCGGGGGCCGTGTAGGGCGGAATGGCCCAAACTCTCAGGGCAAGCCGCTCATGTGCCAGCTCCGCGTCACTAAGTTCCTTAGCTCACACCCTCCACCCCCTCCCTGGTCAGGGACCAAGGGACAGTGCCCACGCCTAGCTCCCTCGCTCTGCGGCCCCTCGGACAGCACAAGCAGCCTGTCCACAGCACAGGGACCCCCAGGGCGGGGACGGCGAGGACAGGAAGCAGCTGGCCAAAGCCAGCCCCTCCTCACCTTTGGCATCTGCTGAGTGATCTTAGCCAGGTTCTGCCCTTTCTTGCCGATGATGAACCGATGAAGCCAGGAAGGGGCAGAGACGGAGGACACCGTGAAACTATTAGCCTGGCAAACAGAATGGAGCCCGTGGGTGTGCCGAGCTCACGGTGAGGTCGGAGGGAGGCCGAGACGAGGGCCTCCGCCGGCCCGCCGCACCATTCCGGCCCTGAAAGCCAGCCCCGGGCAAGTCGTCCCGACGCG